CTGCCACCTCCTATTTCACTGCCAACCTGAACTTGCTGAGGTTGTGTATTTGTATCTGAAACACAAGCCTGTGTAACTTGATCATTACTGGAGCAGCTGATGCACTGCATCCAACCATTTTCTCTTTCACAGCGGAATATGTTGTCAAGACCAACTACCGACCCGAGTCGCCCAATGGCTGTATTTACCCAGTGTTTTGGGTTTTTTGTTTCTTTTGTGTTCTTCTTCGAGTCAAGCAAAGGTTTGAAGATTTTAGAAAACACAAAAGCGTGGCTCTTCCATTGCTGAATTAGATTTATCCTTCCGAGGATATTCCCAGAATGTAAGTTATTTGTACATTTGTCAACACATGGGGAGGCATAAACATAGAAAAGCAACAAGTCATTCTCATCGCGACGGTTGAACAAGTGGACCAAGTAGTCCGCAACACGTGACTCTGCATGATCAGTTTTTTTTTTTTTCAGAGGCAGAGGTATGGCTGCAACCACCCTGTTGCCGACGTACAACTTGTTCTCATCAAGCTGTTTTGCTACGTCTTCAACAGGATCACTTTGAAAGACTTGCTGCAGGATATCGGAGATTTTCCGATTCTGGTCATCTGGGATGCTTACAGCCAGACTGAACATGCCTTCTGTTCTGTACCTGTGAAAGTACAAACATACACAACATCCCATCATGTATATTAGATATTTTGCTACAGAACACAATATACTGTAGTTTGTTTGATATGTGGATGTGTGATGCAGTAACCTTATCTGACCACTAAGTGGCACCCTTACACCATTTACTCTGTGTGCATTTCTCTGTGTTTATGCTGTACATGACTCAGTAGTTCTGAAGTTTCTTCCAATTTTCTTTAACTTGATCTCACAGAAACATGAAGGCATGCATACATTGTTTAACTTTGTGTTTCTGAGTTTGGCAGTATTTCTGAGATGCTGATGGTAAAACTGAACTCTGAATGTGCTTATTGGAACTTGGATTGCAACTTCTGTATTTATAGCCAACTGATGATTAAGTTTTCTATCGGTGGACCAAGGTGGCAGTATTGTTTGAAATATAAACAGAACTGATTACTAGAACTTTATTTGTATTATCTTGCATTTTGTTGTTGGTAGGGTTAACTTGATGTTGCTAAAAGCCTTATCTTACTTCTATCAACTAATACATGTTTTATGTTTATTTGCAGAGGGATAAGTATGTAACATAAACAAATGCCACAGCATTTATAGGCTAAGCTAATTTGCAGTCTCTGTCCCTAGATGGCCTTTAACACCTCGTCATACAGTGTACTGTAATGTACCTGCATCTCTGAACATAGCCTTAGGCAGCAAAATTATTTCAGTGAATGATTCAGAAGTCAACTCACGCTTTCAAGATGCCATTTACAATACTTGCAAGCCTATTCTGGTCCACAGCAGCAAAACTGTTTTCAGTAGACAGGAAGAAGGCGAGTGTCACAGCCATCCAGCAAAGGCCCGCCATCTGCACACAGATCAAGTTTATTAGCAGATCATAGAGTCAATCAATATATCAATCATAAAGAGGATTCACACAATGAAAATAAAAACAGCAATGGCCGTGTTAAAATGTAAATGCAAATATATAAACTGTTGTAGTCTTAGTAGGAGACATCTTGTGTCCAGCAGAAAAACTAGATTCTGTAATTTTGAGTAGTAGTAGGACTGGATGCATTTTTAAGGATTTTTATGTGGGAAACACATGAGACACACATTATTGTTCCAAGCAGACTATTTGCATGTGTCGTAATACACGTCTGGAGGGAATCTTTAACTGTTTGATTAGGAAACACTATGTTACCTGTGCATTTCACTGATGTATATCAGTTAAACTGCGACACTGGAAAGTAACATTCACATAACTTACTTCCCTTTTTGGGTTTTTTTGGTTTTCTAAGGTGTTCATAAAGCTGTTTTACCAGTTAATGAGTGAAGCCTCAAGTCCCTTTGTGTTATACATTTTGCAACAATTCAATCATATGCATACAGAGGGTTTTTAATTATGCTATTTTGTAATTGTTCCTGCATAAACCCAATACATACTCAAAACCTGCTTAGAATTAGTATGTTGGATGGATTTCATCCAATAAATCGGAGCGAATATATATAGATTAAGTAAAGATCTCTAGTTAACAGGTTTTTGCAGCCATGGCCACTCTCAGCTTCTTTTGGGATTTTTACAAGGTGTCAGGAGAGATAAGACTCCATTAAAGGCCTAAGAAGTGCATAACTTGCATAAAAATTATGACTTGAGTTTGCTGCCTCTCTTTTTTAAAATAATGCTAAATATAGCTAAGTAAAATCTTTTACCTCCTTTGTTGGAGAAAGATGTCGGATGGATGCTGCCTTCGTCTTCTATTTTCTTCTCAGTGTTGGGAGTGAAGGTGCTGCTGCACTGAGTACAGTCAGGAGGAAGGAGCCTTTTTTTATAGAGGAGACGTTGACCACAGCCAACCCCTCAGCAGCACCATGACCGTATTTGAACACGTTTCAAAAATGAGGAAGACGGATGAAGACTGTTATTGAAGTAGGTCTTCTCTTGTCTTTTAAATGTTTAGATTTTACATCTGGACTAAAAGAAAACTAATGACCACTATGATTTTCACATTTTACTTTAACTTCTTCATTTACACATACATTACACATATACAATAAAAGAATATGTTTTGGACTGATTTTGATTTGGTTCAATGTGGATACAAAAAAAACACAGGAGAGCTGAGAGAGTTAAAAAAAAATCATGTCTGGACATTGTTGAAGAAGAATAGTTAAACCAGGACAAATGGCTTTTTTTTTTAATTGTAATTGTGTATTTTATTTTGACACAGCAGCCAAAAGTGCTTTGGAGAAGTTCTTTGCACTTTGTTTTGTGACTTGCAGATGGAAGATAGAGATATAGAAATACAGACGCAGTCAGGTTGCAACTTTCTACATTTCTGCTGTGAGGTAAATAAAGAGGAAGTGCAGGGGGACATAGTTCTCACACTTCTTTTTGAGCTTTTTTTCCACATATTTCTAAGGTTCAGTTTGTAACATTTAGAAAAATTAAAATAGTCAGAAATTAAAAATATATCGTTATCGTTTTTGATACATTACAATGAGAGATTTTTATCTATAGGTGCCACGGTTCGCCTCCATGGAGTTTATCATGTTGCACCGGCATGTTTCTACAGTAGCTAAGGGTGCTTCAATCAATCGGCCACTGATCAACTGATATGGAGACATAGGACTGACTTAAATGTAACACAAAAAACACGATAAAATTTAATTTTTCTTTTATGTTGACCTTTCCTGCTTGTTGTGTAATTTGATTGGTTGTTTGTATCATGCGCATAGTGCATCAATCAGCATTTTAAGGCTGATCACCAATCCCTGGTTCTATTTGAAGCCTTATGTGCACACAAGCACACACCTACACCTCATATCTCACACACCAGTGCCGCCTCTCTCTGCTCCTCTCTCCATATACCGGCTGTATGTGTCTGCTCCGTTACTTTGTTGATCAGCAGTAAGTATTATAAAGTCACCCAAGAAACACAACTCATGTTTTACATCTTTTCACCTGTGTCTTCACAACAGCAGGTGAGCCTGAGGGACAAACTAAACACTTGCTCTAGATAGGGGTGTAGTGCGTATTCACCTCTTTTCTTTAAGTTCAACTTGGGTCAACTTTGACTGATCTTTTTTCTCTTGCTTCAACTATAGGGAAATGTTTTGTGTTTTAGGTTCACTGTCAAATGCAATCTGCCTTTTCACCCTGAATTGTAGATTTTGGATTTCAGCAGAAACAAAAGTCAGGTCAGATAAGAGATCTCAAACTACGTCAGGTAATTTCACAAGGCAACGCACAAGTTTACAACATGTGTCTACTAAAAGGAAGAAATTTTGCCTCTTCATTCTGACTCTTGGTCAGTTGGTCCAAGTACATGAGGACTTCAAGGTGATGCATGTCACCAACAGCTCTCACCATTAGTCATTGGAACATTGCAGGGGCTCCAATTATTCCTTGTGGCATTTGTTCAAATTGATAGAACCCAAGAGGACAGATAAAGGCTGTCTCCTCTTTATCCTCCTCAGCCATAGCTTATAATAACCACTCCATAGATCCAGTACCAAGACCCACTTGCTGACAGGCAGTCTAAGGCGTCATTAATGCGAGGCATTGTGTACTGGTCCGGTATGATGTGGCTGTTTAGAGTCCTGTAGTCAATACAGATTCTTCGGTTCTTTTTGCGAGCAATTACAATTGGTGAGGTGTAGGGACTGCAGGACTCTTTAAAAATCCCAGCTCCTAGCTGTTGTGTGTGTGTCGTTGCACACTGTCAATGTCTGCAGGTGCCAATTTGTAGTTCTTGGGTCATGCAGGCGTATGTGTTGCTCCATGCCTTTCGCCATGCCAACATCCCATTCATGCAAGGAAAAGACCTTTTCGTGTTTGAGCTAGCTTTTGACGGAGTCGATTCTTCCAATTTTCAGGGAGGCCAAAATTGGGATCATGTCTCCGCTCCTAACTTTTAACTGAAGTAACATGAAGTCAGAGGTTGAACCTCTAATAAGCTGCTCAACTCTGGCCTTGTTCACTGCACTAACTGGGAGGCCCTCTCTGTACTACTTTGATAAGAGACCTCTCTACTCTTTGCAGGAACTCTGACAGAGGTTCACTAGGCTGCTAACGGAGAGATCTGAACAACAGGTAGGGGTTTTCTCCTGACTCTGACGTACCAAAAATGCTCTGTATTGCCTGTATGTACTCCGCTGGGTTAGCATCAGGATCAGTCATACGCACAGCCTGAATGATATCTAATGCTGGGCCTTTCAGACTCTTTGGTCCTTGTCAGAGCACTCACTTTCATCTATCATGAGCTTTGCCTGTTCTAGCCAGATGTCTAGACATTCTTCTCCTGTGGGAGTGGGACTGACTACTTACTCGCTCTTTTTATTTCATACACACCCAGGCTGAAATGCACACTCATGCAGGGCTTGTGGACATGCAAACATGGAGAGAGTATGGTTGTGAGTGATAAGGCTGCCACGTTAGCAGCGCACCCATGAGCAAGATTACTACTGGGGTGGTAGGTAATTAGCCAATTTCGCTTCACCAAGGGCACAGTAGCAGGCTGAAACATGAGATAACTAACATTCAGCTACTATATACATATACATCCATTCCCTGTGGTTCTGTGGGACATATTGAGCATGCATTGTAGCAGAAGTAGAGAGAAGACAAGATATTAGAGAAGAAAGAGCAGTAGAAGGATCTAGTACTATGAGACAGAGAGAATTTTGACGAACTAAATGAGGAGAGAGAGAGAGAGGTGATCAGGAGGAGCTGTGTGCACAGGTGAGCAGATTGGCTGATGAGGAGGTGTGGCTGACTGGCAGAGTGGAGCCGGTCCGGTAAGTGGAAAAGTACTGAGATGGCTGAGGTGAACAGGTGAGGAGGAAGGCAGACTGTGACAACATCTACACCCTTTCCTCTGCACCAGTTAACCAAATCCAGCAGTGATGGGTTTTATATGTTATAATTCTAATTACTAATTGTTCACAAAGCTTAAGAGGTTGTTACTTGAATTGTCAGGAATGTTAAATCCCAGCGGTGCCTCCCTTTGTGTAGCACGCATCCCATGTAGTTAGGTATATTAATCTGCTGCGTGTAATAGTACTATGTGCCCTGGGCACGGTTTAAATATAAGTAATACTTGTACATACAATAAACTGCATAAGCTTATATGTAATAATAATAACCTCAAATAGCATTCACCCAAAATATTTATTATTTATGATAATCTATGACACAACATGTATGCTTGCAAATGCAAAATGACTATGACTAAGCAGAGGCAGGCTGCTGGAAATCTGACAGGAGGGAAACAGTCTCCACATTGGTCCAAAATAGCCTCGTACAGTCACAAATGTCTGTCTCCTGAATCAGGTAAATCAGCTAAGAGGGTTGGTTGTTTGTTCCAGGACAGTCAGTCCAACTACAATAAAGAAAAACAAAGATTCACAAATCATGCATGCAATATTCATGCAGTGTACTACAGTGTAAGATTTTGCCATTTCACCAATGGAAGCTTAATTCTAACCATTTTGTCTGTCAAAAACGTACTCAACAGCCCACCCTGTATATTAGATATTTTGCTACAGAGCACAATATACTGTAGTTAGTTTGATATATGGATGTGTGTGTGCAGTGACCTTATCTGACCACTAAGTGGCACCCTTGCACCATTTACTCTGTGTGCATTTCTCATTGTTTATACTGTACATGATTTAGTAGTCTCTGAAGTTTTTCTTAAACCTGATCTCACAAAAACACAAACAAATGCATGCATACATTGTTTAACTTTGTGTTTCTGAGTTGCTGATAGCAAAACTGAACTCTCAATGTGCTGATTGGAAGTTTAGGAACAGATCAAAAACAATTTCTGTACTTAAGCACTTGGTTTAAGTTTGCTATCAGTGGACCAAGATGGGTGGTAATATTGTTTGAAATATATATATTGCATTTTATTGCTGCTGGGTATATGTTCATGTTGCTAAAAGCCATATCTTCTAAGAAATGTTCTTTAAATTTGTTTTATTTTTTGTGATTAATATCAGTGTCGTGTTTATAGCTTGTTGCAGTGCCACCAGGTGGCCAACCTGTCCGTAAGCATGATGAATCTGTTGTGAATCTGGTGTGGGCTCAGTTTAATAATGAAATATAAACTGGGTTGTTCTGTTTGGCCGACAGAATCCAATCTAAGTAAAAGATAATATAGTAGTACAGAATGATGCTGAGCCAAGCTTTAATCAGAAAAAACAACAGAAAATCTAGAGATTTGTGTAATGCTTTACAGAAACATGGAGTACAATGACATGAGTACTGTAAATACTTTTCTTATTTTTCAGGTTGAAATTCAGAAATCTGAGTATAAATGAATCATAAACACAACAAATGCTTGGTTAGATGTAGATTAACAGGAAAACCCAGCTTTGCGAATGGATAGAGGTCCACTACATATACATCATCAATAACAAATACATTATAGTGCACTTAAAAGTTCAGAGTTTCAAATGAAATGAAATGAAAAATGGTTTGTCCCTAGCAAAGTAAAAGTTAAAGAATGTATTGATTTGGTATACTGTTATTGATATATATAATATATATATATATAATTTGGCTTCAGTTGAAAGTCATTGTATCAGCATGAAGAAGTGCTTGAGAAATATGCTTGTTATATTTTTAAGTTTGTTATTAGCTATATTATTAGTTTAGCATTTTTAGACATGCTATCGATACGTCTGTTGATCACTTGGTTGATGCACCATTCAGTTTAGAATGAAATGTCTCAATAACTATTTAATATATCAGCAATAAATGTTTGACATTCTTGGTGCCCAGAGG